CAATTCAGTAGTCTTCATGGTCTCAGCTCTCACTGTGTATGTGGCTTCTTCTATGTCCCAGTGTCCAAACCTTTCACATTCTTCACAGGCCAATTCAAGATGCTCCAAAGTCCCCCAGCCATCGTGATCTCTCCTTGTAATTCTCGAATACTTTTGCAACCTCTGTTACTTTCGACCTGATATCATATTCACTTATCTAATAACGAAAGCCACCATGACCATCAGCTCCTTCTACAGATTAGTAGGAGCCAGTTGCTCTGCTATGGCTTTGTGTATCATTACCAGTGAGGCTGGTATTATGATTCTTCTACAAATGAGAGAACTAAATCACAGAGAAAGTGACTTGCTAAGCTTGCACAGAGCAGACAGGATTTAAATCAGAATCTGCTAACTACAAGCTTTATGCTTTTAATGACTTTGCTCCATCGCTTTCCATATGCATGTATTTTAATGTCTCATACCAGTTCCCATCTACTAGCAGGAAGGTTAAAAAATACCCTCTTATCTTACATTACTTCCATGAAGTAGAACTTCATTAAATCTTTGAACAAATGTCCCCTGACTCCTTATCCAGTTTCAGATACTTCAACATTTTTAAAAGAAGACATTAAATGATAAGAAATTGCATTAACTGTGTAAGTAAGCCAAAAGATGCATTTGGTATTAATTTTATCATTTTTAATTCTTAGGAAAATTTAGAAGCAGTTGGATCAAATGTGATAAAATATTGGTTTTATCTATCAAACTGTCTTTTCATTTAAAACAAAAAAAAGAATGAAGTAAACTAAATGGTGAATTATATATGCACACACACATGCATTACATTCTTGTTCATCACAGATATATAAACAAGAAAGAACTTGGCAAATTGAAATTTGATAGGTTTAGTGTCATTTTGAATAATGGATACAAATATTTTGTGTTCTTGTGTCTATATCCAGAAATGGATAGGCCTCTCGATTGGTCTACAGAGACACAACCTTTTATCTTCATGCTTTACTTGAGTGAGAAATCATAGTCCTGCTATTTTCTATAATCTAGTTCAAAATTGGACCTTGTTCAAGAGAAATACCCTTTGTGTTCAGTCCTCAATAAGCATATGGTTGAGTTGAAGGTGGGTTGGACTCCATACTCTTCCCATATATTGTTGTCATACAGGGTAGAAACAGATAAAAATTTGAAATGACAGTAATTGTTTTTGTAAACTATACCCATTTTAGTTGAGTTTCTGTGACCCACACTGAACCAAAAATTCAGAGAGGATGATATGTTGTGTCTTGCTCCTTATTTAAAATTCCACATATAGGAACTGGGCCTAGCATGTCATAAGATGTTTAAATAGTATTAAAATCATTATTCTTTCTTTCTGATGCTGAGGCTTTGAGAACCAGATATTCCCATATTGTAACTAATAATAAATCAATAGGCAACTCATTTATTCTGATATTACAAGGAATTATATCCTAAGATGAAAATAAATCCAAAAATTTTCTTTATAAGCCAGAATAGGATAAAATTAATAGAAATAAAAAATTAATTGCAAGTTGCAAGGTTTTCTTTTCTCTCCACCCTCTCCCACCCCAATTCATTCTTTCTAACTCTTTCCATTCTTTTTCCTCTTGACATTATGAGCCTATCAAACCATGTGAAGCAGAGTTAATTCCCAGGCTCCTATTCTCTTAGTGATATCCCCGCTGAGAAAAGTAATTATCTAGTTCAACTTTCCAGCTAACATTAAGTAGTAAACTTAATATTAAGCTCCTGCAAATATTAATTCTACAACAGTAAAGCTAAACATTTTTATTAGCATCTTCTTTGCATCTAGTATTTTCAGAACACAAGTACATTTTTTTTAACTTTTCCTGGATACCTCTTTGGGAAATATGGATTCATTTGCCGAGTTGTACATGAAGAGACCAACCAGCTAAAACTTGATTTAGATAGGAATTATTAGATACCAACCAGCTAAAACTTGATTCACATAGGAATTCTGGTGATATATATTCTGGTATAGATATATTTTCTACCAAATATATATCACCAGAATTCCTATGTGAATCAAATTTTAACTGGTTGGTCTCTTCATGTGCAACTAGACAAATGAATTCATATTTCCCAAATATATCTAATAATGATTAGATATATTTTCTACCAGAATATATATCACCGGAATTCCCCTTCCAGACCATTTTTTTTCTGAGGCCTCCCAGCCTTAGAAAGGAAAAAATAGATTTATCAGAACAGAACACAGTTGCAATTTGCACATTTCCCATTGTCCTGCTTCATTACCACCATGAAGAAGTATAACCAAGAGGGGTAGACCACTAATTCCTGAGAGTACAAATATTGGCTCTAGTTGGGCTATACTTTCCAATTCATAAAACTCCTTCATACCGTCATTTTGCATAACTCCTACAGGGGTGAGGAACCTTTTTTCTGCCAAGGGCCATTCAGATATTTATAACATCATTCACTGGCCATACAAAATTATCAACTTAAAAATTAGCCTGCTATATTTGGTCAAACATTTAATCAACTCACCCCTAATGCCTTGGCAAGGCAGAACGAATGATTTCTGGGGTCTTGAAAATACCTAGGTTCCAGGAAGAATTTTATGTCTATTCTTGGGAATTTATAAAAGTGGATATATGAAGGGAAAAGGTGCTATCTCTCATTTATTTATATAGGAGTAAAATGAGATAGTGATTAAGTGACTTGCTAAAAATCTTTATAATCAATGATTTCCATCTTTACCATTAAACTAAAAGTACTGTCTCAAAATTCCCCAAAGATTTACTTCTTACCTCATACAATGGCACTTTCTCCTTCCTTATTCTCCTAAGTCTTCCATTGTATTTGACTTGGAAATCTACCCTGTGGTATTAGGTAGCTCTTGCTGTTTAACAAACAATCCCCAAACGCGGTGGCTTGAAAAAGCAGTAATTTATTGGCTTGAAAAAGCAGTAATTTATTACTGCTCACACATCTGAGGGGCAGCTGGAGTTTATCTAGGCTGGGTTCATTTGGGTGGCTCTCTTTCTTATGAAGATCTGCTGGTTTTCTATGTTTTTCATCCTTCTCTTCAGTTCATGCTAGCCATGTCCAGGATCAGGCTCTCTTAGTTCCCTAATGATCATTTCTAGTTTACCACTGGCCATTTCCTTATTCCATTTGGAATTGCTTCAACTTTGGTCCCATGCTCCTGTTAAGTCAATGTTTCTTTCCAATACAAAACCATATCACATATCTCTAAAAAAAAAAAAAAAAAAAAAAGAGTTGGATCTTTAGATATGAATTCAAAACAAAAACCAAAGCCTTCATGAAAACTTTATCCTACATTAATAGGAATTTGATATCTCTAAAGCTTAAGAGAAAATATAAATGAAAGAAATAGAAATGATGAGAAGAGTATTAAAACCATTTCCTATGAGAAATGGTTAAAGTTAATAATTTCATTAGTCTAGAGATTATATGGGATGTCATGACCACTACATTTAGATCATTGAAAGTGTGTGGTATGAAAGACCTGGGGTTTTTTTGTTTTTGTTTTGTTTTTAATCTTTTTAGCAGAACCATACCCAATGGGTGAGTTTAAGGGAAGAAAATGTCAGCTTGATATACTGAATAGATTTTTAGTAAAAAGAACTGTGTAGCCACAGAATAAACTGATATCTTTATTTTTCACTTGTGTCTCTCCTAAAAATGTCTTCCCCCTCCCAATAATCTATCAAAATCCTGTCTGTCTTTCAAGATTTATCCCAAGCCTTCATCCCTCCATAAACTCTTCCCTGACTACTCAATTTGTATTGATCCCTTTCAAATTATCTTGCTAATCTATCCCATCCCAACTAAATTAAGGGCTCTTTGGAAGTAGAAATATAACATACTATTTTATGGGTTCAAGTATGAAAGATAATGCTGAGCTTATAATAAGCATTCAGTAAGCTTTTACTGCTCAGTCATGGATTTCCTATTTTGAAATCTGAAATTACTAGACTTGGTTAGAATTCAAACCAGATTTGAATGCTCAAGAATCTGATCATTTCACACTGATATCACAAAAGGATATGGTTTCTGGTTTTAGTGATAGCCCAAAGGAAGTAACATGTTTTGCCCTCCAATGTTATATTTTCCTACTTACCAAAAAAAAAAAAAAAAAAGATCTTAAGTTTATAGTTCCAATAATGTGTAGAGAGTTGAAGGGTGAATATGCCATCATTTCTTCATGTCTGAAGATTATTTAAGATATAAACCAACTAGTCAATGGGAATATACAATGTGAAGGACCACATAAAACATGGAGAACTGTCACTCTCCTTTGTATTCAGGTCTGCCTGTTGTCATAGTTACCCAAGGACTCAAAGCAATTTCCTCCGGAAGCACTCTCTGTCAATGAAAATAAGCTACTCTTCACTATTTGTATTTCTCCCCCCATGAGTTTCATCTAAAGAAAAAAAAATAGCATCAGCTATATGGCTGTTTTTACACTGTCAGCAAGATTGTATAAACAAACAAAAGGAATAAGAGGTTTAATCAACATAAGCACCTCTGATTAAGGTCTCACCTCTTTTGTTCCACAGAGACTCATTGAGTAGCCAGGTACTGGGACACAACTATGATTATGCCCCGTCCCTGCTCTGGAAGAGATTAGAGCTGTGTGTGGGAAGAGAGGAGTGAGGGATGCATTTCAATGAAAGACAATCAGGGGTGTGGTGGAGGCAGAGTATAGAGACCCCTGGAGACTAAAAAGAGCCGCGCCTCTTTAAGTTTGGGGTCCTGGTGCAGTCAGATCACAGGGAGGCTTCCAGCCTGTGAGTCTTGGAGCCTTTCCCTGGGAAGTTTAGCAAATGTGTTTTTGGTCACTTGGGGCACAAATCACCGATGTTGCCCTTCAGGCGGGGCTCAGGAAGCGGTGGAGTGAGGAGGCCTGTGGGCCACCAGCAAAGCGCCATCGCCTGCTCATATTCACACCCAGCCTCTCCCCTCTGCTCTGGCTGCAGGAACTCCTTCACAGACATCCTGCGGGCCATCCTGCTGTCCCTGGAAGTCCTCATTGAAGACCCGGAGCTTCAGATCAACGGGTTCCTTTTAATCATAGACTGGAGCAATTTCTCCTTCAAACAAGCCTCCAAGCTGACACCGTCCATCCTCAGACTGGCCATCGAAGGGCTGCAGGTATGTGCAATGAAAAGGACACCATGAGACCATGTGTGACAACGCACTGTTTTCTTATTGCAATCCAAGTAATATTTGTCTTTTGGAGCGGCAAAAGAAAACAGAGTTCACCCGTGATATTCTGTGTTTTTACCTCGGCCTGAATTTACATGTTTGGGGTTTGTTTGTTTTTTTTGTGTTTTTTTTTTAAATTAGACTTCATTTTCATTAATAACTCCAAATTACTGTTACCACAGGCACAAATTACCTACTGCAGCAATTATGAATAAAGCTCAGGGATATTTAGCCTAATTCACCTGAGAGTTTACAAAAATTAAAGCTAGAAAATATCTGCTTTATGAGCATGTCCTATATAGAGGTGGCATGGGAGCTTTCCAGGGTTTCTAGAAAGAGCTTTGTACCCCAGAAAGACCCCTGCGGATGCTGCCTTCTTAGGATGCAATGTGCAGCAGTGTTTGTACTAGAGTAGATCCCTTCCGTGCAAACAGGGGAGCCATGAAACTCTACCTCCTGTGTATGAGGACTCGGCAGACCTTCGGGTTTTCTGTGCCGTGTGAAGGCTAGGGCAGGCCGTCTCTGGGCTCCCTTATACTTTTAAGGACCAGTGAGTCTATGAAAAGTGTTACCAAACTCAGGTCATGCTGCTTAGCTTCTTGGTGACACATGACTGTAGTTCAAACACCAAGGTACAGTTCAGGGAGATTCCGAATCAGCACAAATAAAATTCATGTCCCTTCTTAATCCTGTGGTAAGATTGACTCAGCGGGCTGATCCTCCTTCCCAGTGAACAGCAGTTATTTGCAGCTATGTAGATAGCGCACTGTTCGCTAATTCTCAGATAAAGCAGCCATTGCTCGTGCACTTCATAGTGAGGGACTAGATAACGCATAGAGACAGACAGCAGAGTGGTGATAGACACAGGGAAAGAGGGGGAAAGGGGAGGGAGGTGTGTAAAAGGGAGATAAATGGGGATGGAAAGAGACGTTGCTTTGGGCAATGAGTGCGAGATGCAGTGTGCAGATGATGTTTTGTTGAATTGTACACTTGAAACCTGCATGGTTTTAGGAACCAATGCCAATAAATACAATTTAAAAAAATTTCAATCATTATTCCAGTTTCTCTAGGTGCTTTGGTTTTACTTCTAGGAATGAAATGTTGTGCTCCTAAGTCTCCAACTGAAACTTGAACGTGCAGATGGTGCAAGTTTCAAGCAATGAAAAAAAACAAAAAATGAATTAATAATATATATATATATATATATATATATATATATATATATATATATATATATATTTGTTTAAGGCTAAAAATCCCATCTCACTCACCCATCCTACTCTAGTGTGAGGAGTAATAAGAGAGTCTGTTTCCTAAACTGGGCCTCATACCTATTTGACCCCAGTATATACCTGGAGGGCCTCTGATAAACAAGTGTCTATGGAATGGACCTTATTTGATTGAATGGTTTCCTACTCCGTGGGGAAGGGAGCAGGCATTTTGGAAGAGGAGGGACAACTCCCCACTGTCCCAGGAGTCGCTGTTGTCCTGGGTGGCCATGTCATGCAGTGTATTGGGAGCACATTTTAAAAGTTGCTTTTGCATTGCTGGACTCCATGGAGCCCCTGCTTTCTCCTAAACTTCCAGTCACTGTCTCGTATGTCTCTACTGTCAATCACTTTCTCTTTACTCTTTACTCCTGCTCCCCACCTCTTCTCATCTAAGCTTCTGAACATGTGACCTCTCTCCCTAAAGCTTTTATCAAAGGGAGTTTTAAAGAAGGCTGCAAGGTTTCTTTCGTGCCCTATAATTATGCTGACCCTATTTCCAGGATTTGCTGTGGTAGTTGTAGTACAAGCTTCATTTAATTTATTACATGTGTAAGTCGCTGTGATTCAGGTTCTCTGTATTTGTAACGTTTTTTTCTCAGAAGTCAGGGAGGAAAATGCCCTTTCTCCAACCTAGTGTTCTAGTTTTTCTTTTGAAAAAAATGTGTGGATTATATAATATGTCCCTTGCCAACTTCACTAGGCTGATGTGGGGCTTACTGAGTTAGTGCATGTGAATGTGTTTTAAAAGGTAAGACTACACCTAGGCTTATAAATTATTTTTACAAGAAATGCTAGATGACCTTTGGTGGGGCAAGGTAGATCCTGTCTGAGCCTTCAGTTCTCATGTAGCAGGATCTGGGATGAACCCTGCAATGTCCTATAGCTCTAGTTAGGGAGTAGCCTCTACTAGGAGAAGGGGAGATGGATGAGGCCAGGGTCATAGTGAATAAAATGAGTACCCTTCCAGCATCTCACATAGCATGACATTGTGTGGTCCCTTTATTCCCTTTTATAAAGCCAGGTCCATTCACCTTGACTGTGGGAAAGACCAGGCCATCCTGGAGTCAGGCTGTCTGCATGGGGATGCAGCTTTCTCTGTGATCTCTGCCTGCCCAAGCCTGAAGACCTGGGAACACTTAGGAGGTTCAGTTGAAATAACCAGTGGTTACAGGGGGCGCTGACCTAGGCACCGTTCCTCCAATGAGGATGCGACTCCCTGTAACATTTAGCTTGTTGTCTCGGCAACTGTGAAGAAGCCCTCAGGGTCACTGCTCAGCCACTGACAACTTCTCACACTAGGCTATCTTCTCTTGGGCTTTGGGGACATTCAGACATCATGGTCACCCCATCCACTAGCTCCCTCAGGGAACTTTCTTCATGGCCGGGATAATTTTCATCCCTAGTGTAGCCATGAACCACTTTTGATATCTCAAACAAGCAATAACTGGCACTAAGAAAAATGTATGCCTTTGGTTACACTGTCGTACAAGGAGAGTCCCTTTCAGGCCTCCATGTGTCAGATATGAAGATTCAAGATACATTTTCCAACACCAGCATGGGTGAAGGCATAGACAGATGGAGAAAGGGAAAGCTGTATAAAGCCAGTGTCAGCCGGAGAAGAGAAGCCACCGCTCTTCCTTTCTCCTTTGCATCTTCAGAAGGACCAGAGGAGGTCAGGGTATCTGCTAGGCACACGGGAGATTGTGAGACAGGGAGATCCTAGTTCCAGTGTAGGAAGCTTGCTCTGTCTGCTGTCCTGCATTTGTAGGGTAGATGTAAGTAGCCTTGTACTTACAGATCACTTTGGGGCTAGGCCAGGGATTGGCAACCTTTAAGACATAAAGAGCCACTTGGACCTCTTTTCGAAGGAAAAAAAAAAACACCTGGGAGCCGCAAAACCATTGCGACATTTAAAACAAATATAACACTGCATATATTGTTTCTTACCTTAATGCTATATACCGGACCGTGCAGTTAGCTGTCAATCTGAAGAAAAAAAGGACTTTTTCACTTAACAATGTAAAATATATTTTTGCAAATTAATAGCTAATTAAAATATTTAATTTACCTGGTTAATGGGATTTTTGCTCCTGAACCTCAGTGCACAGTGTCTGCACATCAGGGCTGTAAGACTTTACCTTCATTTTCACACAGGCTTGCAAGTTGTCATCTGTGAGGCGTAATCGATGTTTGTTTTTAATATAGTTCATGTTGGAGAAGACCTGCTCACATACATATGTGGAGCCGAAGATCGACAGGACTCCAAATGCATACTTTTTCATGTTTATATAAGTGTTGGAGATGACATTCCATGTTTCAAATAAAAGTTTGTCCTGTTTGGGAAGGTTTTCAATATCACTCCATTTATGATTCTGAGCCAGAATGGCCTTCTGACGGGCAACATCCTCAAGAGTAGTGGCCAAGCATTTGAACTTGGACACCCATATATCTTTGTTGGCTATTTCGGCCAGTTCCATCTCAAGATCAGGTAGACTTACACCTACAAATGCAGTTATATTCAATAGGGATGGATCGATCGCCAGGGGAGTGACAGGGAAGGATAATGTGTTTTTTTCCTCTCTGAACTCACAGAATCGTTTCCCAAACGAACTTTGCATTGTGGTGATTGCAGACTTCAAATATTCCAAATTTATCATATCATGACTTTGTTTGAATCTCTCAAAGAGGGAAAGTGAGACAGTGTACCTCTCTGTAAATCTTTGACAAACACTGTCAACTTGCGCTCGAATGCCAAAACCTCCTCCAGCATGTGCAGGGCTGTGCTTCCTTTCCCCTGAAGGGTTGTATTTAGTGTGTTTAGATGTGCTGTCATGTCTACCATAAAATGTAATTTTTCCAGCCACTCTGGTTGTTCCAGCTCAGGAAAGGTGAGCTCTTTGCTGGCCAGGAAAGTTTTTACTTCTTCCAAACATGTGACGAGTTTTAGCACCTCGCCTCTGGACAGCCACCGGAACTTGTTGTGGAGCAGGAGGTCAGAATATATGCTTTCTACTCACTGTACAGGCCCGACTCCCAGTGACAGTCACACTGGAAGCCCTCTCTTTCTCTTTCTCCAGTCCTCTCTGTCCTCTTCTTTTTCCTTCTCCCTTTTTTCTCTTTATTATTATTATTTTTCAGTGTCCCCTCTGTCAGCACCTCTCTTTCCCCTCGCAGCAGTCTCCTCCAACCCAGCTCAGAGGTGCACAGGCTGTGATGTGAGGGAGGAGGCTGGCCCAGGACAGGGACGCTGTGGTTGCCTAGCGACACTAAGTCGCCAGCAACCTGCCACACAAAGTGCCAGGAGCGCTGGAGGCAGGGAAGTAGTGATACAGCTCCCCGCCCTCCGTCCTCCCCCCTTCCCCCCTGCTATCGGCCGGCTGCATAGCTTCAAAAGAGCCACATGCCGCTCCGGAGCCGCAGGTTGCCGACCCCTGGGCTAGGCTATCTGGTTGGAGTTTCAGCTGTTTATCAGAGTTGTTTAGGATTACCTGCTGCTCAACTCTTAAAGAATTTGGGACCCTATAATATAACAACTTCTTCTCCAGTAATTAATACAATTCTTCTTGCAGAGAGTAGGGGGTGGGGAACCACTGTTCAGACAGTGATACATTAGAGTCATTTTTTTTAAGTCATTCTTGCACCCTGCATTACAACCTTGTTCCAGAACTCATAGTT